AGAGGTAGTACGGCCGAAGAACCGGAGGGAGCTGGGAGAAAGCTCGAGGACAATAGACATTCGCGCCAGGAAAGAAGGGAAGGTGACCGAAACCCCGCTCGGAAGGAGCAATACATGATCCGACTCGGGCACAAGACAGTTTGCCAGGGGGGTACAGCGCAACTCCAGGGCCGCCTGGCGGGGAAAGACCAGATAAAGTTCCCCCCCCACCGAACGTTGTGTTGGCAAGGGGGGGGGGGGGGGGGGGACCCTCGACCAGGCAGGGGCTGGCACGGCATTCAGTGTGCAAGGCCCGGCGCGCGTGGGTGAGCAACTTGCCCCTCCCTCCCCCCCAAACCGACTAGGCGGGGTCGCTCACGCTCGAGACACGCAAGAAGATGGCGGGCGGCGACGCGGCGACGCGCTTTGTCCTCTCTGCGGCCGGCGCGCACGACTTCAAGGGCGAGGAGCTCAAGGCGAGTGAGGAGCGGCTGGCGCGCGAGCGAGGGCACGAGTAGGGCACGAGTAGGAGTCGGTGTGGCGTACCACAGCGGGCGGGTAGGCAGGACACACAGTCTACAAAGGTTGTACCCGGCTGTCGGGTGGTGGCGGGGTGAGATGTCCATCGCGCATCGGTCTCTCGTGCGCGCCGGTATGGCTTTACCTCGACACACCCCATGGGGGGGGGTTGGGCCGGCCGCGCGTGTGCGCGCGCCGTGGCGTGGGGGGCACAGTGCAGCGCCGACCTCACCGCCCCGCGCCGAGGGGGTCGAGGTCTCGCGGGATAGACCTCGACGGACGGCGCTCGAGAGCGACCCGCGAGGGAGGCGCGATCTGGCGCGCGAGACCGAGAGCCCGACAAGCGCGGCGGGCCGGGGCCGCGCCGCGCGCGGCCGCGACGGCCGCGGTGACACTCCCGGTGGCGCGCGCCGGGAGAGAAATGATCATGATGAGAGTGTCTCGCCGGCCGGTACCATCTCTCCTACGGGCAACTGGTCTACAGCACGGAACCTCATACTCGCGTTTCAGCCACACGTTTTATGCTCGCAGCGCCAGACAGCACCTCTCGTCGTGTCTGACTGTCTGTCTCTCTCCAACCCACCCCAGTACCGAGTAAGCCACCAGCCAAACCACGGGTGTGTCGTTCGCATAAATGCGGGCCGGCCTCCTCGGTCCGCGCTCACGCGCCTCAGACGCAGAAGGAGCCCTGGCAGAGCGACGGCACTTTAGTGTCCGCCTTGCTCGAGTAGACGTCGTCCACTGTCGGAGGCAGCTCGACGTCGTTGAGGTACACGTCTAGCGCGTTGGTGGCCGAGGCGAAGCGCGCCTTGGCCTCAGCCGCGTTGTTCTGGCGCATGGCCCGCTGCAGCTTCTCCACCTCGGAGAAGAAGGCCTTGGCCTCCTTGACCTGCTTCACCTTCTCGGGCGGCTTGCCCGAGTCGAGCCGAAACGCGTTGCCGAGCAGAAACATCGAGAGCTGCAGGTCCTCCCAGCGCGAGGAGTACTCCTCCTTGACCTTGCAGTTGTCTGACATCGCACAGCCCGACTTTTGCCTTGCCGACGTGCTCACGATTGTCTGCGAAAAGAAGGCGGTGACGGGCTGTGACTTGAAGTCGCCCTTCTCGACCGCGCCGCCCATGTTGAGAAACTCAAACACACCCTGCTTGACGCGCCCAAAGTAGCGGCGCTTGGCGACCGGGATCGTGGTGTACTTTCCCGCCGTCGCGCCGCCGCTCGCGCTCGCAGCCAAGGGAAGGCCGGCCAGAATCGATCCCGCCGCAGAGACGGCCACGGCGTCGAGCAGCGCGCGCCGGCCGGCAACAGCGACTGCTGCAGGGCTGCGCCCAGCCGTTGCGGCGTGCAGTGCTGAGCCTGCACGAGGCGGCACCGCGCTGCTGTAGCTCGGAGCGGCGGCGAAGGAGATGCAGAGCAGCGACATTGAGCAGTCGGAGAGATCTCTTGTGCTAGCAAAGAATTCGTCCAGTCCTGCCATGATGCCGGTAGCCGCCGCCCTTGCCTCCCGAGCCCGAGAGACCAGCCGCGCCGCGGCCCAGCGCCTCCTAGTATTAGTTCCCGGTCGGCGTGAGATGCCCAGCCTTCGGGCCGAGGCACCCGTTGCGACCGGGCCAACCTCAGTGCAGAGAGCCACGCTCAAACCTTCGGATCAGCCACGCCGAGCGTCTGCAGCTGCCCCGTGGCAGGCGCCCACGACGCCGGCCGCGGTCGACGGCGACGGATCGGTGCGGACGCGGCGCCGCCCGCGCCCGCGCCGCGCGCACGCGCCAGCACTCGAGCTTCAGATGATCCTCATTCTCGCTCTCGCTCAGCTCTCAGCCGAGCCCTTGCCAGTGCCCGTGCCCGCGGCCGTACGGACGCAGCCGCGCGCCGACGCCGACGCCGCGCCCCGCCCCTCCCCTGCCGGGCACGAACCGGCGACCGCCGGCGCGGATGGGGTGGGCCGAGACGACAGAGCTACGACAGGGCCTCCACCCGCAGAGCACAGGCTCAAGAACACACGCCCGCCCGCGGCAGGTGCGGACGCCCGACGCGCTGCGAGGGCTGATGGCGCTCGCCGAGGGCGAGATCGAGCCCAAGCCCGCCACCCCGGAGCAGGGAGCGGTGCCCGACCCCAAAAAGGCGAGTCGCCAGACTGCTGGCAAAACAGAGATACCTGCAGAAAAGGAGAGAGACCGGCCAGGCCCATCGCCGCTGGCCTCAGCGATTCGAACCCTCACCTCCGAGACTCGAACCCGCGACTTCGCAGCCTCGCTGACAAAAACCTCGCCCATCACCCCCACGCAAGAGGAGGAAGAAGCCAGAGGAAACGTGGAAGCTCATATAGGGCAGCCCGCCCATATGATAGGGAGTGTCCGAGGACAACTTTGAGGAGGAGTTCGGAGGCTTCGAGTTGGGAGACTCAGTTGTCGACGTCCTCTCCGTCGCGGGCGCGGGCGAGGGACTGCAGTCCCTCGCCTTCGGAGCCGAGGCGGAGCTGCTCCTGTACTTCACCAAGGGAAGCGTCTGCATCGACACTCCCGACCTCGCGGCGCTCAACACAAACGCGCTGATCTTCGCGCTGCTCGGCCAGAGCTGCTGCGACTCGGGCGGACCCGACTGGCGCGAGGCGAAGCGCCTCCTCGGCGACGTCGCGTGCGCCTACGTCTCCACGCTGCGCGTCGCAAACAAGCTCGACAAGCTCGGCAACCCCGACCCCGACTTCGCTGTCGTCAGAATCGACTGCTCGAAGGAGGCGGCGGGCAAGCTGCTCGCCGACGGCGCGGAGCTCGGCAAGGTGCGCGAGCTCCGCGGCTTCAACCAGCACACGCTGTCCGACTGCAAGGTCAGCGACGTCAGCGTCGTCCTCTGCACCGAGCAGACGATCGCTTCCACCGACCTCTTCTGGCGCCGCTCGCCGCCCTGGTACCTCATGGGCGCGGCCCCGCCGGGCGCGGGAGGAGGCGGGGCTGGCCCGCAGCCCGACACGCGCGCTCGCCTCACCTTCGTCGTCCCGTTCCACGCCTCTCTCAACATCGGCGCCAGCAACGAGGGCGCGAAGCTGGTGCTCGACTTCGTCAAGAACGACTTCCGCGGCACAACGTTCGCCGCCAACCGAGACCTCGCGGCGCGCGCCACGACCTTCGGCCCCGATGAGGTGGAGGTCGCGTTCGCCTTCACGCCGGGCGTCAACCGCGTCACGAAGATCATCGTGCGGGTGGACACGCCGAAGCTGCCGCCGATGATGGCTGCCGCCGTCCCGCTGGTGCGGAAACTGCGGCTCGTGGGCGGAAACGTCGTCGCCGAGAAGAGCCCGCAGGGCCTGCGGCTCGACCGGATCCCACCGGGGTTCCACAGGTCGAACCGCCCGCGGAACACCCGTCCGGCTGACGTTGGTAGCGACATAGGAACGGCGGCGCCGCCCGTGCAGGTGCTACAAGTTTGCGCGGGAGATCCACCAGAAGGACCCGTCGTCGGAGAAGTGGAAATTGGCGGTGACCTTCGTCTCCAACGAGCTGCACCAGTTCTCCGCCGAGGGCTGCGGACCGGGGGGGCTCCCCGGTGCGAGCCGCCGCGGTGGGGGCCGCTTCAAGCGATGGGCCGCGACGACGACGGCGACATCGTCGCAGCCGCCGCCGGACAAGGGGCGGCGCCGGCCGCCGCCGCCGCCGCCACCACGCCCCTCGCCGCGCCGCTCGCCGCGCCGCTCCGAGGCCTCCTCGTCGTCGTCGTCGTACTCGGCCTCCTCGCCCTTGGGCCACGCGCTCGCGCTCGCGCGAGCACGACCGCCGCCGCGGCCGCGACATCGACCGCCGCCGCGACGAACGCCTACGCCCGCGACTCCTCCCTCTGCGTTCAAGGCCTTTATCAAGCCCTCGGTACAGTTCCAGCATGAATCTGCCACCGTGAGTGAGTCAAGTACGTCCTCTGAGATGGAGATAGAGAACAGCAGCATGGAGTAGTGCGGAGTCGCATGGTACCTTTTGGGTAATCCGATAAAAGAAGAACAGCCCTGTACCGCGGCTCTATACATTTTATGGAGGGCTCGCCCCCGAGGCACGGCGCGTGGGTAAGAGACGCCGAACTCCAGGAGGACCCGCGCTTACCCGACCGCGATGGGCAAGGATAAAGAGCCGCTCGGCTCGGAGGGCCGTGAGCTCAACGCGGAGGTGGCCAGGATATGCCTCGCGCTGCACACAGCGCGGCCCTTCACGCACCTCGCTGCGACGGATGGAGGGAGAGACATGCCAAACAAGTGGGTGATGGGTTCGTGCCTCGACCAGTAGTGTCGTATGGGGACGGGTGTACGAAGGGCCGGCCCGATTCGGGAGACCCGTCGAGGGATCTGGACAGCTCGAAGGCGGGGACGATGAGCTGCGGCTCGCGTTTGGGCAGGGGCTGTGGGGCGGCAGACTGCCAGACGATTGGCAGGTGATAGACGCGGAAATGTACGCGGTGCTGGCTTACCTGCGAAAACCTGCGTAAGATGGCGACGGCGAAAGATGCGGCGGACAGGAGGTGCCTCGTCTTGAGCGACTGCAAGCCCGCGCTACAGCAGATCGAGGCGGCGTACCGAAAAGGCTCTCTCGAGGGGCTCCGAGAGTGGGATCGAGGAGGTGCATTAGAGGGCATATGCAGATATCGCGCCCAGCTCGAATCCGTCACGTTCCTGTGGGTACCGAGCCACGCGGGATGCGCTAGCAACGCCTACGCCGACGCCGCGGCGACGGCATACATGGGGGCCAGCGAGATTGAGGATGCCACAGCGGTCATTCGGGGAGCGGTGAGGACACGCCCGTGCCTATACACGGACCGCCGGAGGACGGCAGACAGAGAGTGGGGGCGGGAGGTACTGGACCGGAGGACCTATTACGCCACACGCGGCCACACGAACGAGTGGGTGCGAGGACGGCTCGGCGAGGGGCTCACGGCGGGGTCGCACACGGCAGGGGTCACGGGGCCGCTGTGGAGCGATGTGGTCAGGGGAACGACGAGACACAAATGGGACAAGCGCTAGCGTGGAGAGCAGCCTAGCGCACACGTTGAGGAGGCTGGGATGCCGAAGTGACAACCCGCTGGAGTGGAAGCCGAGCTGGGACTGGGAAAGGGAGCTCTCGGACGAACTAATGATCGAAGCATATCTAAAGGCAAAATCGAGGTGTGGGGTGGAGACGGTCACGACAGCGGGGTGGGAAGAGAGCAAGAAGGGGCCGCTCAGACCCGAGGCGTGGAGAACGACCGAGAGCCGAAAGAGAGTACTGGGCCCGCTCCTCTTTGAGACAAGGAGTCATGGCTGGAATAACCAAGGCCTCGCGTGTGACTTTGCACGTAACCTAGCCAAGCACGGGATAGCGACATGGTCGGACGTGTCAGAATGGGGCACCGGGGAAGTGTTGACGTGGCCGCAAATGAAGCGAGTCTATGGCCTCAAAGACAACACGACGGAACATAGCGAATACAAGAGGCTGGCGGAGCAGCTGGAGCGACCAGAGTGGGCGCAGCTGCGACAATACTGGAAGTGGGCGGCCATAGAAGAGCGCGCACACGGACAGAAGACGGAACGGAGGGCGCCCGATAGGGTGCGGAAGGTGAAGGCGGCAAGGAAGGCGCCGACCTGCTACGGGGGAGGCACGGAGGAGGACGAACACGGATGGGAGTACCTCTGCGAATGGGAAGGCGAGCAGAGCGACAGCTGGGTGTGGCACGATAAGATGCCCCACACATGGGAGCGGGAGCTAATGCACGCGCAAGGCGCGAGACGGCAAGCGGCGTCCTTCCGAGAGTGGCTAGAACACCGCAGAAGACTAGGTAGATCGGGGCCGGAGGCAGCGCAAGCGGACAGAGCACTAGAGACGTGCGATGGAGAGAGTAATGCTCCGTCGTGGAGCGACGTGCTCGATCGATTCATTGAATACAGCAGGGAGGTTAACGGGGTGTGCACAAGCGCACCCAACATGACAGAACACACGTTCGAAGAAGGGCGAACCAGGACGGACATCCGAGTGGAGGGGAAGGCCAGGACGCTCTACCTCGGAGGGAAGAAACCGGCGCAAGACAGCGGCACGCAACTGGGGTCGAGAGAGGACGGGGACAATCGAGTGATAAAGCTGGAGGGGACCCCGGGCCTCGATACCAACGCGACATGGGAGGAGGAGATACCCGAGCAAAATAAGATCACGAAGGACGCGGTGAGAAAGATGATGGAGAGACAGGAGAGGGAGCGACAGGAGGGGAGCCTCGGGGCGGATGAGACGTTGTTCCCAGAGGGGGCGCCCCAGAGACACATAAACTGGAAGAAAGAAGACTACGAGCTGTTCGTGGGGCACGGACACGGGGCGAGCGCGATCAGAGTAGGGGAGCTACAGGAGGACCCCCTAACGCGCTTCTTGCTCCGATACGACGAATTTGAGACGGGGGGAGAGCTGACGGACGGCAACGGGAAGCGAATTAAGATGGGAAAAGACAGCGAGCCGCTGCGGTCGGGGAAGGGACGAGCCTTGAACGTGAAAGTAGCGCAGACATGCCTCGCGCTGCACGTCTCACACCAGTTCACACACTTTGCGGCGACGGACGGAGGAAAGGACCATGAAGACAAAAGGGCGGAGGATGGAAAGTACGTGCCGAACCCTAGGGTGGCGTACGGCGTGTTCGAAGGACCGACACGATTCGGAAAGAGCGTCCCGGGAGACGCACAGGTAAAGGATCCCAACGGAATCGGACCCTGTGAAGAAGGGGAGATACGGATAGCGTTTGGGGCGGGAATGTGGGGAGGAAAGCTGCCGAACATGTGGGAGCCGATAGACGCGGAGATGTACGCGATACTCGCATACTTACGCAAAATGGCGAGCGCGAGCGACGCGCGAGCGCGGCGGTGCTTAGTGCTATGCGACTGCAAACCCGCGCTGCAGCAGATTGAGAATGCGCACCGCAAAGGGATGCCAGAAGGCCTGAGGGACTGGGAGAGAGGCGGACTGCTGGAGGCGATCGCTTACTATAGATCGAAGCTAGAGGCGGTGGTCTTCATGTGGGTGCCAGCACACGTGGGAATAGCCTGCAACGCTTACGCCGACGCGGTGGCGACAGCACACCTCGGGGATAACGACACGGAGGACGCCTCGAAAGTGGTGCGGGACGCGGTGCGGACGCGGCCATGCATGTACACGGTGCGAAGGGAGGCGGCAGATAACGCAGAGAAGAGGGAGATAGTGGACCGACGGACGTACGGACACATGTGTAAGAGCGCGCACGAGTGGGTGTGCGAGCAATATCGAAAGACAGTGAGGCCGGGGTCGCACACGGCAGGGGTGGCGGGACGGTTGTGGAGCGAAGTGGCAGTAGCCAGCCTCAAGCATCGATGGGATAATAAGATGAGATTACCAGACGAGAACGGGGGGAAGGACAGGCGGGCGACATTTGACGACGTCGGGGATCACAATGTGACGACCAAAACGATCTTGGGGGCCAGGGTGAGACAACAGGTCGGGGTGCCACATGGGGCACACCACAGGCGTATTCTAGAGGGGGAAAAGAAACGGGGAATGAGGGGCCCCGCCACGAGAAGTGCGTTCTGGGGATGCAGAGCGTGCAAAGCGGCTAGGGATGAGGTCGCAAAAGAGGCGCGCGAGGCAAGGAGGAGACGCGGGGAACTGAAAGACTGGGACGACTGGAAACAAGAAGACAGTGAGCCACCACAGGCGTCGTTGGCGCACATACTGAGCGGCAGCTGCGCTGGAAATAAGGAAGAGGCGCGTCACTTCATGCGGAAGCTCGACAAACACACAGCGAGGGCGACAGCAAGAGTTGAACGGGAGGCGCCGGACTCAAAAGACACCGCCACATTCCTGAGACGAGCGAGGGCAGCCTCCTTAAAGGCGAAAGGGTCTAGATTTGGGGCGCTCGCCGAAGAGGAGTGGCGACAAAATAGCACCCGTGATTGCCTGCACGCTACCCGCACTCAC